GAGAGGTGGTATCGGATCGTAATCGATCAGATTGATTGATTAATTTATTGATTGGACGTGACGTGCTACGGGGATAGTTGATATCAGCCTCGATCGATCAGATTGATTGATTAATTTATTGATTGGACGTGACGTGCTACGGGGATAGTTGATATCAGCCTCGATCGATCAGATTGATTGATTAATTTATTGATTGGACGTGACGTGCTACGGGGATAGTTGATATCAGCCTCGATCGATCAGATTGATTGATTAATTTATTGATTGGACGTGACGTGCTACGGGGATAGTTGATATCAGCCTCGATCGATCAGATTGATTAATTGATTGATTGGATGCAATGCACGAGAAGGACAGTTGATATTGGCTTCGATCGATCTGGTTGATTGATTGATTGATTTGATGGGTCGCGATGGAAAAAGTGCATCTTGGCTTCAGTTGATATGATTGATTGATTGATTGATTGATTGGATGCAATGCACAATGGGGAGAGTTGATATCGGCTTCGACCGATCAGATGATTATTTGATTGATTGGATGCAATGCACGATAGGGAGAGTTGATATCGGCTTCGATCGATCTGGTTGATTGATTGATTGGATGTAACGCGCAATTTGGGAGAGTTGATATCGGCTTCGGTTGATCTGATTGATTAATTGATTGAGTGATTGGACACGACGTGACGAGAAGAGTTCATCTCGGTTTCGATCGATGTGATTGATTAATTGATTGAAGGATTGATTGATTCGCCCTCTGTTTCCTTTTCTCCCGTTTTTCGCCTGAGCGGAAAAATTTAGCGATATAAACTGCAGCCCACCATCAACTCGATAGATCACTTTATACAATCATTGATTACTTCACTTATTCATCAAATGATTGATACGCGATCGATTTGCGATCGTCGATAGCGAAACGATTCGTACCTGGCTCCCGAGGCTGTGTCCGTGCACGTGCCTCCGTTCAGACAGATGGCGCCAGGTGTGTTGCACGTGTCGACTGCGGAGTCGTCCTTGGCGTTGCAGACGCAATCGGTCGTCGTGTAGGTGCTGCGGACGAGCAGACGAAGCATGCTACTTATACCCCCCTATGGGAAACGCCCCCCCCTTTCACATTGCACATGAGCAAGTGTCGTAATTGTAATAATGACTAATTTTAATTTATAAATCATATGGTAACAGGTGACTGGGGACTAATAATATCAAGAGTCCATAACAGAACATTTCTATTATTTCTACTATTCTATTCTATTATTCTATAAAACATTTCTATTATTTCTACTATTCTATTCTATTATTCTATAGAACATTTCTATTATTTCTACTATTCTATTCTATTCTATTATTCTATAGAACATTTCTATTATTTCTACTATTCTATTCTATTATTCTATAGAAAATTTCCTATTATGGACTCTTAATAATATATGGGTAGGGGGGTTGTGCACTGTAATTGTAACAATGACAAATTGTAATTTATAAATCACATTGTAACAGGTGACTAGGAATTATATATGGCAGAGGGGGGTGTTCATGCACTTACCTGACCCCGAGCATGGAGGTCGCGTTCGTGTTGATGTAGGTCGGAGTTAGCGACGTCGACAGCACGGTGCGGCACCCCGGCGCCCCCTGGCAGATCTCACGGATACACTCATCAATGGGAACCATGATGATGTCAATGCCAACAGTTTGTGCAATCTGGAACAATGATGGAACAATGATGGAATGTCGACGGCGCAACATTTGTTAATCCGAAAAAACTAAACAGATTCGAAATACCGACGACAAAGTCGTAATTATAGCCGTCACAGAGCTCGCAAAACTTTTCCGATTGGCTGATCCTTGACCAATTGTGTAATTACCACAGGGAGCTCTGCTGCTACGGCCCCGTCCAGTTTCTCAGCGGGATAATAGGGGGAGCCACTGGCTGCGTAGCGCACGTCGATCTGTGGTGGGTCGCTGCCCTTACGATCCATAACACTGAAGATCTCCACCTATGTCATAAACAGCATTGTCAGTGAACAAGACGAGTAGAGGACAACTTGCACAGACAACAACCTTAAGGGGTGAACACACTAGGCGATTTTTCATGCGATTGAGCCGGCCGACCGAGCCGGCCGGCTCCATCGCATGAAAAATCGCGTAGTGTGTCCAGTGAGTCGCGGTCGATTTTCGAGTCGGCCGGCCAAGTCGCCCGATTCAAACATGTTTGATAATTATTTGAGCCGGCCGGCTGCAATCGCCTAGTGTGCCCGGGTCTGCGATTGAGCCGGCCGATTGTACAATTCATCAGCCAACCAGCGTGCTGAAAATCCGACGTAGTGTGTCCACAGAGTCGCCCGACTGAGCCGGCCGGCTTGATCGCATGAAAAATCGCGTAGTGTGTCGACAGCTTTAGCAATAAATTCACTGTTCACAGTAAACAGCCTAATGAGTAACCATCCCTAGCAGTGTAAAGAATAGTCAGCGAACAACATGACCAATGAAGCATCTAACTGCTACAGGGTATGAACAACGTAATTAATCTGTGAACAACCATAGCGGGGAACAACAAGTCATGAACAACGTAATTAATCTGTGAACAACCATAGCGGGGAACAACAAGTCATGAACAACGTAATTAATCTGTGAACAACCATAGCAGGGAACAACAAGTCATGAACAACACAATTAATCTGTGAACAACCATAGCGGGGAACAACAAGTCATGAACAACGTAATGAATCTGTGAACAACCATAGTGGGGAACAACAAGTCATGAACAATGTAATGAATCTGTGAACAACCATAGCGGGGAACAACAAGTCATAACCAACGTAATAATTATAAATTCTAATCAGTGAACAAACAGTCACGAACAATGCAAGTAGTCAACACTATGAGCTGTAAACGAACAACAAGTCGTGAACGACTTAAGAGATGAACAACGTCAGCGTGTGAACAGCGAGCAGAACGTACCTTCTCCTCCTTCGCCCCCGTCGCGCGCGCGATCTCTGACCGTAGCTGACTCAGCTTGCTGGTCGTCCCCACGTCCGACACGATGAACTCTCTAGCAGTGACACCTATGAGCGAAATTAAGAAACTATGCTGTAACGATCAGGGACGGTGAACTAAAGCCAGCATTTTCTGACAAGAACAGTGGCTGATAATTTTAGCGCGCAAATTCTTTTGGGTCGCCACATGGGTAATTTATACATTACATCACAGAACAGAAGACAACAACTGATTATTGAGGCAAAATAAAGGCCAGAATAACATGAAACATGTAGAGGAAAGAATCAGACCAACAATGAGAGAGAGAGAGAAAAAACGTGTGGAAAAGGAGGAAGATGAATATGAACCAAAGGGTGAGGAATAGAAGTAGCAGAAGACGATTAAGCATGGTAATAAAAAGCAAGAGAATCCGAAGAAGAATAGAACATGAAGAAGTGGAAGACACCGAAAAAGTAGAAAATAAGATGATGATGATGAAGAAGAATAAGGACGACAACAACAGGAAGCACAAGAACATTAATAAGAGGAAAAGAAACAGAAGAAGGAGAAGAAGAAGAAGAAAATAAAGAAGAAGAGGAAGAAGAAGAAGAAGAAGAAGATGAAGAAGAAGAAGAAGAAGAAGATGAAGAAGAAGAAGAAGAAGAAGAAGAAGAAGAAGAAGAAGAGGAGAATCAAGGCAAAGAAGTAGAAAAAAACAAAGTGATTGACAATGACGACGAAGAAGAATGAGAAGAAAAAGAAGAAAAAGAACAACAACAACAACAACAACAACAACAACAACGACAGGAAGCCACCGTGAGCTCACCGTTGATACGCAGCGATCCGGAGCTGAAGACGGCGTCGTCCCAGATTCCGCGCACCTCCACGTTGACTGTCGACGTCACCTTACGATTCATCGTCTCGTCGGTGACATCCACCTGGTGGTAAAGAGCTAACGATCAAAATCCACAGAGGAGGGAGTGGGGAGGTGGAGGATGGGGTGGAGGTGGTGGAACAAGTAGAGGAGGACGTGGGGAGGGAGAGGAAGAGGAACGAGAGGGAAGAGGAGGGAGTGGGGAGGTGAAGGATGGGGTGGAGACGGTGAAACAAGTAGAGGAGGAACGTGGAGAGGGAGGGAAAGAGGAACGAGAGGGAAGAGGAGGACGTGGTGGAGGGGAGGAAGAGGGGAAGACTAGACGAAGTTGAGGAGGAAGGGGTGCCGGTAGATGATGATGATGATGACGATGAGGAAGAGGAAGAGGAGAATGAAGAGATAGAGGAGGCACCGCGCACGGCGCCACCTGGCGGCCTCACCTTGAACGTGTACTGTCCCGAGGGCGTCTTGTCCTTGATGCGGATCGTCCCGTCGCCCGCGTCGACGCTGAACTTCTCGGGTGGGGGCGCCACCATCGCGAACGTCTTGTCAACGATGTCCCAGTCGTCTTCGTCCGGCGCGTAGACCGTGCCGATGGGCGTGTCCTCCGGTATGCTGTCTGTGACGGAGGGAGAGAGAGAGAGAGATGATGAAGGAATGGTGACGGGTACGCTAGAGGGTGCCACTAACGACACTCGCTGTGCGTAGATTAGTAATTGTTAGGTTCCTAGACCACTTTTATAGGTAAATATTGCTACAATCCTATCTCACCCACCTTTATAGCATAAACACTGCTACACTCCTATCTCACCCACCTTTATAGCATGAACACTGCTACGTTCCTAGCTCACCCACCTTCATAGCTGAATACCTTATAGCTACTTTCTTGGACCACCTTTACAGCATAAACACTGTTACACTCCTATCTCACTCACCTTTGTAGCTGAACACGGTGATGTGCTTCGTGCCCGGCTCGTGCGCGTGCGTGTTCGTGTCCTCGACTGTCACCAGCACGTCGTCGCTGTCACACATCTGGTTGACGTCACAGATCTCGACGGGCACGCGGAACGTCTTGTCGCGCGTGCGGTCCATCGCGCGCTGCGTGTAGAGACGCGCGCCACCCTGCCCCGCGCACGACGCTCCTGCAAGCGCGAAGAAGAGCGCGTCAGTCTACGACGGACATACTAGTCATACATGTGCAAAGTGGCGGATGTCTCGACGGGTGACAGTCTGTGATGATGTATATATATATGTGTGTGTGTGTGCGTGTGTGTGCGTGTCTCATGTATAATCATAAGCATGACATATATGTATATATGTATACGGGCAATACAAGAGCAACGCCGCGATTCGGTGATGCTTGCAGTGACCATCTTAACCTTAATTCATTGACAACATATCACCGAACTATTCTGACATCAGCAGAAAGCGAGCACCCCCAATCTCGCCCGGTGACACTTTACCCCGGGCGTAAAGGGAGGGTGCCGCTACGTGGCAGTACTAGTGTTAGGATTAGGGTTAGGGTCAGGGTCAGTTTTAGGGTTAGGGTCAGGGTTAGGGTTAGGGTTAGGGTTAGGGTTAGGGAAATAAGGCCATGTCTAGCATGGAAGTATGACTGTGGAATGACGGAAGTGTACGAAGTGACTAGTGCTGCCACGTAGCGGCACCCTCCCTCTACGCCCGGGGAAAAGTGACACCCAGTCTCGCCGCGCGATGACTCACCGTCGGTGTCGATGCGGAAGGCTTCAGCAAAGGTCGCGTCGAGGTGTCTGAAGGTGAAAGGCGGGGACAGCTGCGCGAGGTTGAGTACCTGGCAGTCCGCCGGACAGGCGACCGGTTCCAACTGCGTACCTGCGTGAGAGAGATAGAGAGCGCATGAGAGAGATAGAGAGCATGAGAGAGATAGAGAGCGCGTGAGAGAGATAGAGAGCGCATGAGAGAGATAGAGCGTGCGTGAGAGAGATAGAGTGCGCGTGAGAGAGATAGAGAGCGCGTGAGAGAGATAGAGAGCGCGTGAGAGATAGAGAGTGCATGAGATATAGAGAG